CACAGGTGCGGGAGGCGAGGCTCTGCGAGGTGAGGGAAACACTCACCGCCCCAGCGGTTGTGGCGAGGAGGGCCGGATTTGCGCCCGGTCAGATGATTCTGACTCTCCCGTGAGGGACCAGCCGGTGGGGGAGGGGAGGAGCCAGGCGGAGCTGGGAGGCAGCGTCCTCCGTCCGGGGTCTGCGAAGCTTCCTTCAGGGCTGACCTTCCCCCAAGGCCCAGACCCCGATTTCTGTTGCCCAGTGGGAAGCCCACAGGCCCGCCCGGCTCCTGAGCTGCGACCCCGGAGTGGCTCTGCCTGTCCCGTGACACGCTGACAGCGAGGGGAGCCAGGGAGTCACCCCGATGGAGCCCAGCGCGGAGTCAGGTCTGAGGCCGGGCCGAAGGGGCACGGAGGCCTAAACTTACAGACGCACTTCGGCCCCTGCCGCTGAGGATCCGTGACAGGCCCGTCCCTCGCCTGGGCCCTGGGAGGCGGCTGTGGCCCGGGCTCCCCCACTTTTCCACGCCTGCTGCCCCCACAGCTCTCCTGGCCTTTCCTGGGGTCCCTCTCCCGTGTCCAGCCCTCGCTCCAACGTCACCCGTGGAGACAGGCCTTCTCTCGTGTGGCCGCCTCGTCCCGCCGGCCCGTCTGCGACTCCCCTCCGGGGTGACCGGCTACTTGTTCACGGTGGGCCTCCCTGCACTCGGACCGACCCAACAGAACCCGGGGGCCGGGGACACGTTCCGGTCCGCCGCCCCGTCCTCCCCGCAGGGGCCCCCGTGGCGGGGACTCGGCGAGCACGTGTTGAATGCATAGACCAATCAATGGCTGCCGGGCTGCCAGGAAGCCATCGATGCTCTGAGCCTCGGTTTCCCCGTTTGCAAAATGGGATTCATGCCTACTGAAGAGTAAGCTTCAGGCGGGCGTGTGGCCGGGCCAGACGCTGCACTGGATTCAGGGGGCTGGTGGCACCGGTACGGCCGTTCACGGCGTTACTCGTATCACCAGCATTACTACCGCAGCTAAACGTCATAGGTTGGGGGGTCCCGCCCAACTGAGGGGCTGGACCCTGGGTCCTGAGGTGTCCCCCAAAGGGGGACACCACGGTGACTCAAGACAAGGACGCCCCGGGGGCCTGCAGCACACACGGGGAGAGAACGCGGGCCGAGACTCAGAGGGTTCCTTCTTTCTGGATCCCTCCCTTCTCTCCGACATCCCTCCTCCTCCTCCTCCACCCCCTCAGCCCCGCCCTCCCAACCACACTCTAAGAATAAACCCCACGCCCTGCGCGCCCTGGGTGTCACGGTTTCCTGCCTTTACGGTCACGGCTGCTGGGGCCCGGAGGGATTTTCCAGCTCGGGGCAACGCTGGTGGGAGCAGAGGCAACGTGACCCAAGAAGGGCCCGCAGCGCTGCAGCCCCAGCAGCAGGAAAGCCCCAGGCGGGCACCGGCGGGGCTGGAGTGGGGCCCCGGGGCGCTACCCGGGGCGCGGGAGGGGGAACTGGGCCATCCCGCGGACTTCGCCCCTTGCCCCGGCTGGCCGTGTGGCTCGCTGCCAGCACAGGCTGTCCTGACCATTGGCCGCGGGCCTCTGGAATGACCAGACCCAGAGCAAGAAGTTCCACTTAGTGTCTGGAAAAATCTAGGGTCAGGCTGGATCCAGAGGGATCCCAGCTCAGGCGCCCGCCCGCCCCTGGAGGAAGTCCCGTTTTCTCTGCCTCCTCTGCCCTGTTGGACCGTCCCAGAGGACCGGCCTGCGTGTCCTGCGTTCACCCCGGCAGCCTCACCGCGCCCTCACGGGGAGACGCCGTCCCCAGAGGGCTCTCCCCCCTCGGGCGCTGCTAATCTGCCCTCCTGATCTCTGTCTGCTGCTTCCACACCTGTCAACGGGCCTGGCTTCCAGTGTTGCCCTGACTCTGCCTTACCCAGCGACTGAGCGGTGTCCAGGACAGCTTCCAGGGGCCCCTCTGTGACACGAGGCCCCGAGCGGTCCCTTCCAGCTCTGGAAGTCTAGGACCCCACGCTTAGAGACTGAAACACAAGCACCCTTCCCAGGAGGGTGCACGATGCCACCCCCCGCCGGGCCCCCAGGACTCGATGGGTTCACACCCAGCAGGACCTGCTGGGGAGGGTCTGAAAGGTGTCCCCCCCCCTCCGCCTGCCTTTCCCGCTGTGTGATCGCGGGCTGGTCTCTGCGGAAAGGGCAGAGCATGCGATGTTCGGGGGACTGAAAACGCAAACTTGCTCACCCGGGGCTCCCTGACACCGAGTGGGTTTGCATCTGCCAGGAGCCACTGTGAAATGTGGAAGAAAAGAACACGGGAGCAGAAAGCCCAAAGGGAAAAAGAAGGAGCGGAAGAGTAGGCACCCGGCCCCCACTCCCAGCGCCCCCCGAGTGCGCCAGGCTCACAGACAGCAAAGGACTTGGAGCTCGAGGTGCTAATGTGCAGGCGGCGGATCCATCCACTAACGCTCTGCGGCCTTCTGGTTTCCCCGCTCCGGGGTCCGCGGCCACCGCGCAGCCGCATGGGCTGCTCGCGGCACCAGGGCGGCTCAGGGTTGGCGGGGCTGACGCCCAGGCCAGGCCCCGTCCCCCGAGCACGGGTCTGCCGACCAGCGTCTCCCTCCGTCGGGCCCTCCCCTCAGCCTCGCTGGGGAGCCGCACGAGCCAACCCAGGCCGGGCGGACAGACACCCACAAACACACCGCCTTAGTGTGGCCCTCGGCTCCTTCGTGACCGCCCTCCTCCTCCCCCTCGGAGGACACAGTGCACACCGTCTTCCCACACGCACCCCCTTCTCCGAGCCAGCCCCCCGGCCCTTGCCCACGCTGGCCATGTCCTCTGCCTGGAAGAAGGCCATCTCCCCATCTGACTCGAGGGCGCCCCAGCTCTGCAGACCTCAGTTTGGACTGGTTCTCGGCGAGGAGCTGAGTCCTCCGCCTGAACCCACCGCCGTGTGGGGTTGCGCCCTCCCTTCTGTGCCCTCACCACCCCTGCCTGCCCCCAGAGCGCCTGTCAGAACCATAATTCAACGGTCATGGCTGATCACGGCCTTTCAGCCCGGGACAGCGGGGCTCCTGGGACATGGAGACCCTGCCTGGCCTTCGCCTGTGTCATCTCTGCCATCTGTCACCTGTGTCTCTGCTACCTGTCTGTCCGCTTTGCTAGACGCTATGACTGCGTGCACAGAGTCAGTGCTCAGTAATAACTCTGAACACGCGAATGACCGTCATTCAGTGGGGCGAAGGCCACGAGAGGTGGTGCCGCCGTCTGAGCAAGGGCAGGGTGCGGACAGCGGGTCCCGCGGTCCCGGGACCGCTGAGGACACACGGGGCAAGCCCGGGGCCCTCGTGGCCGGCGGCGAGGGGCCACTCTCGGACACTCGCCCGTCACGTGGAAGTCAGAGGTCTCGTCTTCCCCAATTTCCTGGGTGTTCCAGGGCGTGGGCTGATAACACAAGAGACTCTCCGAATTTCCTAACGGGGCGAGCGTGAACCACAGCCGAGTGCCAGTTCCATCACCAGACCACAGTGCGGCTCCGGGGAGCCCAGCACGCAGTCTGCGCCCGGCTGGTCGTTCAGGGCGAGTGGGCCCTCGTGGTCCCGGAGGACAGGAGCGGAGGCCGGAGTGCAGGCCTTCCCGGGCGGGCGGCCTGGAAGTGCTCTCCGCTGGGGGGCAGGGGGCACACGGCCGCCGCCCCTCGGTGCGGCCTTTCAAGGCCGGCCAGTTTCTCCTGAATGAGTCACTTTCTACGCGTGAAATTCCAATTTGTTTCTGCCCTGGCCAGTGTGGCTGGGCTGGAGTGTGTCATCCAGCACACCAGCGTGGCTGGGGGTTCGATTCCCGATCGGGGCACCTACCTCGTCGGCAGGTTCGGTCCTCAGTCAGGGCACAGGTGGAGGGCAATGGATTAATATCTCTCCCATCAACGTTTCTCTCCCCCTCTCACTGTTCATCAATAAACATATTATTTTATTTTATTTTTAAATTGTCATGGACATTTTCAAACACACATTCACAGCGAGAGAGAACAGTATAAAGAACCTCATACCCAATACCCAACCTCAGGAACGATGAATTCATGGACAGTTTTGCTTTATGTATAGCCCCCCCCACCACAAACTGGATACACGTGAATCAAACCCCAGACCGTCTGCCGAGTCCTCTGTAAACGCTCTCGCTGACTGACGGCTCCCTCTTAAACTGCAAGTAATCCCTGCTCGTTCCAAGGGGGGAATGTTTTCAATTAAAAAAGAGAGGAAATTGCCCCGTGTTCTAACCGCTCGGTGTTGACGTGAACAGGGCGGCTGGTCGAACAAAGTCGCTCGGACTGGGGTGGAACGTCCTCCTCCGCCCCTGCACGACCCCGGGCCAGGCGCCGCCCTGAGCCTCGGCCTCCGTGGGTGTGTGGGCACGTGTGGGCTTCCGTGGGTGTGTGTGGGTATGTGTGGGCTTCCGTGGGTGTGTGTGGGCATGTGTGGGCTTCCGTGGGTGTGTGGACACATGTGGGCTTCCGTGGGTGTGGGTGGGCATGTGTGGGCTTCCGTGGGTGTGTGGACACGTGTGCCTGCCGGAGGGTCGTGAGGAGGGAGGAGACCGTGGCGGTGGCTCGGCGAGCGCCCTGCCCGGGCCAGGGCCAACAGCGACCTTGGCCTTGGAGCCGAGCGCAGAACCCGGCTGTTTCGCCCACGGAACGCACAGGCCGCGCAGGAAGGGAGGCGGCCGGCGTGGGAGGGAGCACTTCTGCTTGCCTGTGGGGGTTTGGAGTCTCAGATCCCGGGGCCTCTGAAGCCGCTTCCAGGGGCTGACCTCAGGGCTGGGTCGTGCGTGGGCTAACGCGCATGGATGGGGCGGCTTTTTTCTTCGAATTCCACACCCTTGGTTCTGGAGGGAAAAGAAGGCGTGGCCTGGACACCTCCACTTTACAGACGGGGAAACTGAGGCCGGCCAGGGACGCCCCCCAGGACCCCGGAGCCAGCTAAGGGCTGGGCTGGGGCCAGAGGCCGGGCTCCCTGTGAGATGCACTGTGAGATGGACAGGCCGAGGGCGCGGGCAACGCCAACCGGAATGAGGGAGTAAAGGCCCACGGGGCCAAGGGCCGACGCCCTGCTGCCGGTGCGTGCTCTGGGGTGAGGGCGGCTTCCAAGAATCAGGCCCACGTGGCTCCTCCCCGGAGACGCGACAGTCAGGTCTGCGAGGACCCCCATCCGTCCGTCCGCGGAGACGAGGTCACAGACGAGGTATCTGGCCGCGAGCAAACGACTTCCCCCTCCGTTCTGGGGAACGCTGATAAAGGGCTTCCTTCCTCATTCTCGGGACCTGCGCCTCCGCCGCCAGGGCCCCTCTTGTCACACTATCCTCCCGCCCCCTCCACCCTCTGGCCGCCCTGGACTTGACCTTGCCCTGGGCTGTCTGTTTGACGGGATTCGGGGGCCACTCGACTCTCCTGGGCTCGGCTGGTTCCTTCTCCTCTTTCTGACACTGCCGGGTTTGTGTTTCACTTCTGCCGGCGAGGGGTGGGGCCCGGGGTGGCGATACGCCGTCACCTTATTTCTGGCAGCTGCGGTGGGCGCCGGGGCCGAGGTGTCTGGTTCTGGGCCTGCCCCCAGGCCCGCCTCCCCACCTGGCCCGCTCTGGTTTCCTCTTTTGCCCCCTGGGGAGAGGCGAGTCTGCCCCACAGCGCTGGGCGGAGGGAACTGGGACTACGGCTCTCACGAAACACCCCCTGAGCACCTACTGTGGGCTGGGTCGGCATGGGCTCGATCTCTCGGAAACCTGGCGTAGCCAGACAGGCTTGGAGAGACAGGGTGCTTGCCCGCGCCCACCCAGGGGCGACAGGTAGAGAGGCAGGAAGAACCTGGGATGCCCTGCCACCGGGCCACCCCGACTTCCTGGACAGTCACCCCTGAGGGACGCCCCTGGGACAGCCAGCAGCCGCCACCGCGGCCTTCCCAGATGGGGCCAGGTCTCCTGCATCCATCCTCTCCCGATGTGAGCGACAGCTGCAGACTGGACACCCCCGAAATCTCATCTCACCGAGGGGTGGGGGGGCCCAGTCTGTACGTTTGCTGCCGCTACCCCTTGTGCGGTCGAGGGAGCACTGCCCAGAGAGAGAGGCGCAGGGACGGGGGGCAGGGTCACACAGCAGGTCAAGGGCAGCGGAGGGCTGAGTGCGCGCTAGTTCACTCCTCCGATTGCTGAGCGCCTGCTGTATACCAGCCCCCATGTCCAGGGCTGGGTACGCAGGGGGCTCCCCGCCTCTCAGGGCTTACAAGTGTGGGGGTGGGGGCAATAAACGATCAGGTGACAGGTCCCTCCAGCCGGCCCGTCGCCCTCCACAGGGCAGTTTCCTTTGCACCGTTAATCTGCCAGGACAGACCAGCCACTGGGCTCTGGAGCTGGACCCCCGTGGCCACAGGCCATTCAGGGTGAGCTGCAGGCCGCCACTGCCCCACTCTCAGAAATCACCCGGCAGCCGCCATGCCCCAGGGGAGGGAGGAGAGCCCCCCCACCCCCCCGCCCCGCCGGGGTTTGGTGGGGTGGGCTGGGTGGGGCCCTGACTCACCACCCACCACCAACAGAGCTTTGTCTGAACACTTCCCCTCGGGCGAGGGAACACCCATCTGGAAACCAAGGTGAAAAGAGGGTGGAGCGGGCTCACCTCCGGGAGCTCCCGGGCCGCACCTCTGTGTGGTCTCTCCCTCCCGTCTGGCCCTCCCCCTTGCTCAGGAGCCACCTTCGCCCCAGCAGCCCACCGGGCAGCTGCCTCAGCCTGCAGCTGCCGAGGGCTCACGCCACGGCCCGGCTTTGCAGCGGCCACCCCTTCCCCCCCACTCTCCCGCCCTCTGGACCACTCCTCCTGGGGCCGCGGGGGAGGAGAGCCACCTCCCCGCACCCCACTACGTCTGTCCTGGTTCCCTCGTTCAGAGCAGCTGCCTCTCTCCTTGGCTTCAGAATAATCTTCCCAGACGACCGTCTCCCTGCAAAACACACTGGTTCTGTGCACTGCCGCCGGCCACGTGCGCTGGAGGGACGGCCTCGCTGCGGAGGGCGCTGCTGTCCTCCTCTCGCCGGACAGAGGGACCCTGTCCGTCCCGCTGACCTGTCGGCCTACGGCGAAGGGAGGGCCGGGAGCGGGCAGGAGCGCTGGCCTGCAGCGGGGCATTGCCTGCGGACACGCTCACCCACGTGCGGGGCAGGCGCAGCGCCCGGCCGGTCGGGTTTCTGCAAGCCCGGACCACGGCGAGGCGCTGAAGACGCTCTCTCCGCCACAGCGGTGTTTGCTTAGTCGAAGTTGGCAAGGAGGCCGGAGACGAGGCGGGGAGAGAGACGGCGGCAGGAGAGGGAGGGAGGAAAATCAGGGGCGGGAGGAATGAATGCGGAGATGGACAGAGAGGGTGCGGGAAGCGGCCATGGGTGGGAGAGACAGACAGACAGACAGACAGACACAGCGTGGGAATGAGGACACGAAGGGAAGAAGGAACACAAGGAAGAGCATGACAGAGGGAGGACGGGACGGATGGATGACAGTCTGACAGTCAGGGAGGACGGGACCCAAGGAGGCACAGGCTGGGGACAGAAAGGGGAACATAATGGGGGTGGGGGGGGAACAGAAAGAACCAGAAATTTTTAGAGCCGGGAAGGATCTCGAAGTTAATTCTTTTTTTTTTAATAGTCTTTCAGTTTTCAATGGACTCTAGCAGTTTTTTTAATTAATTTTCTTCTTTTAATTTAATTTTATTTATTATTTATTTTTAGAGAGGGAAGGGGGGGAGAAAGAGAGAGAGAGAGAGAAACATCAGTGTGCGGTTGCTGGGGGCCGTGGCCTGCAACCCAGGCACGTGCCCTGGCTGGGAACCGAACCTGCGACGCTTTGGTTCTCAGCCCGAGTTCAGTCCACTGAGGGACGCCAGCCGGGGCCTCGAAGTTGATTCTGGATTTCGCCAACACCCAGGTGTCCAGGCCCACGCCCGTCTCCCAGCTGTGCGGCGGGGACAGGTCGCTAAGATGCTGTGCCTCGGTTTCCTCATCGGCACACAGAGACAGCAGTCCCTGCCTCCCAGGTTCCTGGGAGGGCCGCGGGAGTGAACCCATCCAGCACATGCTCAGAGCACGCCAGGATGGATATTGTCATGTGTGGAGCACGCATGTGGCAGGAAGGGCGGGACGTGGGCCCTGGAGGGGCCGGCGACCCCGCCCTGCCGTGAGGGCCCGGCACGCTCCCGCCGCCCTGGGCCGTCCGCCTGGGTGTCCCGGTTTAGACGGCAGACTCATGGCAGACTTGCACGTCAGCTCTCTGGCGGGGCACAGGGCGTGAGCCGCCGGGCCGGGCCGGGCCTGCCTCAGCACAGCACGTGCCCGCCGTGGGGTGGGGGGGGGGCACCCCTGCAGGTGCAGTGCAGGTGGGCACGTCGTCGTCTTGCGGTGGCAGCTTCTGATTTTCCAAGAACAGCTGGAAATCCCCGCTTTTGTGTGAAGTCATCCTATTGTCTCAATGGACTTTTGTTTTTCAGGGTTTCTCAAGATTTGATTCTTTTTCAGTGATTCATTCTATTTCCAAAGCAGGGCCTCCCGTTTTGAAAGCGTCTCCCTACTGCTCTGGGGTCCCGCTGAAGCATGCCTGTGGTCTGGGCTGGCTGGTGGTCCGTGTCCACCCTGCTGACGAGGGGAAGTGACCGTCTGTTGCGGGAGCAAGACGAGTAAACAGGCGGTGACCACACCTGTGATAAGGGTGGTGGCAGCAGTGAGTGCAGGGTGAGTCAGAACCCAGAGGGGGGGCGGCTACCTCAGCCGGCAGGTGGGAATCAGGGAAGGCTTCTTGGAAGAGGCTGACAACTGAGCTGATTCCTGAGAGATGAGTGGGGACAGGTCCCAGAAATAGTCATCGTGGTGGCAGGGGCTGTTCCCCTCGCTGCCTCCCAGGTGTGGGGCACAAGCACCGTCTCACGGAACCAGCACGATCACCCGGGAGGGACGTCACGGGGCATGGCTGTTCTCATTTTCTAGGAGACTCGGGCCCAGACAGGGTGAGTCACCCGTCCGAGGACACACAGCCCGCACCTGCGATGGGCCCCACCGCGCATCCGGGGACTTCACAGCCTCCGAGAGCTAGACGCGCCGGCAAAACTAAGGCAGCGCCTGGCAGCTGAAGCTTGGGGAGCATTCAGGACACAGAGCCGGGCACTGGGTGGCAGGTCCCGAGGCAGGGAGAGGGAAACCAGGCCCCGCTCAGGAGCTCAGGCTGCTATCGTCGCCCGCCCGAGGGAACGCAGGCTAGAGGCTCGGGGATCCTCGCCCCTCCCCCGCACCTCGCGGAAGAGGAAATTGAGGCCCAGAGCACTGCCCCCCTCCCCCACCCAAGGTCACGCGGCCCAGCTCCGGGGGGGCCTACCCCAGGCTTTCCCTTCTGCAGGGACCGAGCCCCACCCCAGGGCGGGACCGTGGGAAGCGAGAGGGCCCAGCACCGTGGCTTTCGAGACTTTCTACGGAAGATTAAAGAGTTATCTGAACAAGGGACATTAATCTGCCCGATCCCTCTCCCTCGCACACCCTGGGTGGACCCAGCTCGCTCCTGCGGCCTCACCCTCCCCACCCACCAGCAGCTCCCGAGGAAGGGAGCGGGCGGAGAGATGGTTCTGGCTCGGAAACCGTGGGCCGGGGCTTCCTCCGGGGCCAGCCCCCCGGGAGCCAGCCCTCTGAAGCCACCACGGGTGGTGACCAAAGCCGCTGGCGAGGCCTGCTAGGGCGGGGCGGGCTGGCGGCGGAGACAGGCAGGCCCTGCAGACGCAATTCACAATTCATGTCGCTGCTCCCTGGGTCCCCGCCTGCGCGGGTGGCCGATTCCTGTGCAGCCAGCCACGGAGCTACCCAGCAGAGATCTTGAGGGCCGGGCTGGTCGCAGCTGGTTTTCTGGGCAGAGAGGTCTCCCGGCCTTGTTCTGCGCCCGTGGCGGGCGGGCCTGCGTTTATTTGCGTGGATGAATCCAAACCACTCAGTTGGCTCACGCGGCTAGGCCCACTCGAGGAAGGACAAAATGCCGTGTCTGGGAGCCACGGGCAGGTGACGCCCCTGATCTCAGGGGACTTGGATTCTAGGAGGGGGACAAAGACCACGGATGAGTAGTAAAATCATTTCGGAGGCCACCAGGGTGATCCTAGACCAGCATCTGCAGGCCTGGCACTACAGACATTTGGGGCTGAGCCACCCTCACTTGCGAGCGCTGGCCTCTGGGTCGCAGGAGGCTGGGCAGCACCTCTGGCCTCTCTACCCATCAGACGCCAGCAGAAACCCCCTTTGTTGTGACATCTCAGAATGTCCCCAGACGTTGCCGAATATCTGCTGGGGGGCGACACGAACCCCCCCCCCCCCACCGGGTGAGCCCCACCGCTCTACCGAGAGCTACGCAATGCACGTACGAGGCAGGCTGCAGGCACGGTGTGATTTTCTAGCTCTCAGATGAAAAAGTAAAAATGTGCGGGTGAAATAACTGTTATGATTTTTTAAGAACAGTATGTAGTGCCTTTTCTTTCATTTCATTTGATGGTTTTAGAGAGTGGGGGGAGAGAGAGAGACCAGCCCTGGTGCAACGGGTTGAGGCTCTAACCCACCGAGCCACCCCGCCAGGGCTGCCCATGTTGGAGCAGATTTGATTTTACCTCGTGTATCTAAAATACTCTCACTTCCACGTGTAACTAATACAAAAGGGTATTGGAGAGAGATTTACGTCATCTCATTCCTCCAGGTCCTCCAAATCTGCGTGCATTTTCCACTCGGACCCAGCACCGTCCCGGAGTCCCAGCAGGAATGCCGGCCTGCTGACCACGCTCCCAGCTCCCCAGGAACAGCCTGGAACCAGAGCCGGGCTCTTCGGTGCGGTCCCGGCGGGAGCCGCCCAGCGCCGGGGAGCAGTCAGCCACTCCGGCCGCGGCCCCTCCCAGACCTGCTGGTTCCGGTCTGCGACTTAACAGCTTCCCGGGCATTCATCTGAGAAAGCGTGGGCGAGGAGGACGTCACAGGGCCCAGGTGGCAGGCATTTCCAGGGCAACGGAAATTGGTTAAAATGAAACGCACTTTTCTGTTAGTTAGCTTGTGTCTCCGCTTCCCTGCCCCCCCCAGACTGGGATTATTCAGGCTTTTTCTCCGGGTTGTGTGGAATTTAAGTGCAAGCTTGCCCGGGGAGCCTTTCTCTCTGTCCAGGCTCCCCGGAATCACAGAGCCGCCCCCACCCCCGGGTTGTGCAGGGGTAATTCTGCTGCCGGGCCAGCGCCGGGAGAGGGGAGACCCCACCCGACTGCAGGGCCCGTGGGTGGGGGGGTGACGGGCAGACCCCCCTGAGCGGCTTGGGCCCGCCAAGGCCCCCACTCCAAACGGGGTAGGTGTGTGTGCACAACCACTTCCACACTCTCTCACACTCAGGACCTTTCATGGGGGAGCAAGTGTGTGCACACAGGGCTAGCAGAGCCCTGGTAGTTCTGTCACCCGTGTGGACTAATGTCCCCAAGGCCGGAACATTATCAAATGGTTATTCAGGAACCTTTCCAAGCTCCCACCCTTCTGTCCCCACCTGTCCTTCCTCAGGAAGGCCACCTTCCAAGGCTCACCCTGCATCTACCCAGGGCCGGCCCCGCCCACGCCCGGGCCCTGGCCCTGGCCCCAGATCCGGGGAAGGCCCAGCCCTCCCAGCTGCCGTCAGCGTGTTGCTGGTCACGACACGTCCCAACTGAGGGTGCTTATCTCAGGCCCCCGGCAGTCCTCACCTGGCCGTACTTCCTTTCCCTCTCACCAGCCAGCCGCCGGGCCAGCTCCCCAGGCAGCGGGAGGGGTGACAGAGAGGTCAGGGGAGGCTCAGGCAAAGCTGTGTGGGAGGAGGGTGCCGCCAGGCACAGGGGGACCCAGATGAAACCCACAGTGCCCCTTGCAAGCAGCGATGGGCCATGGACGGGCCTGGAAGGGAGAGGAGGGCTGAAGGGAGTCCCCTGCTCCCCAGGCCCAGCCAGAGCCCTGCACTGGGGCTCATGCTGTGGGGTCCTCTTGGGGAGACAGTCCCATTTAGGTGGGCGAATAAAGCCGAGGGGGGTGGCGGGACCCTGGGCTGCGGTGCCCGCTCCCTAGCTTAGTGACCTGGATGGAGCAGGCCGCTCAATCCCTCCCGCCCTCAGCTGCCTCACCTCTGCCGCGGGCAACCGGCAGATTAAACACCAGCGAGTAAGCGAGATACAACGCCCCTAGGACCCCGCGCAGGCCTCCCATTTGGAACACGGCGTCCCCGGCACAGCTCCTCCAGAGGGAGCTGCGGGAGGCCACACGGCTCGAGAGCAGCCCGAGCTCCAGCCCCGGGGGGCTGAGGCCGGGGATACACACTTCCTTCCCCCGGCCGGGCTGACTCACTGGCCGGCCGCGCTGGCGGCTCCCGGGCTGGAAACCCTCTCTCCCGCGGGCTGCCTTTCTGCTCCGGGAGCGGACACCTCTTGTTTTCGCCTGCCCAGCCACCGTGCCCTTTCAGTCTGGAAACAGCGTTTGTTCCTTTCTCAGCCTGGGAGATCTTTTTTTGTTGTTGGAAAAGATTTCTTTCAAGGGAAGCAGTTAGGCTGCTGGCCTGTAAGCCTAGAGCTGCGGGCAAGATTCTTGGCCACCTCGTGGGCCTACGGAGGCAGAGCTAAGGACTATAGAACAACAGGTCCCTAACACTACCATGCGGGCACCTAGATACAGCCGTGCCTGAAGTCAGACCCTGGATTGTTTTTCCCCGCTAGCTGGTTTAGATTCAGCTTGCAATCAAGAGTGCCTGACTGACTAATAGTGCCCGACTTGTCTGATACCGAGGCTCCTGTACCTTAAACCATATCAGACTGACTCAGCCGTGCAGAGAGACTGAAGAGGAAAAAGGCAAAACAAACAAGTGAAGAACTTTCTCTTTCAGGCTCCCTTTCGTGTTCCGTGCGTGGTCCCTCGGCTCGCGGTTGCTGAATGAGTGTGCAGGCCTGTTGGAGGAAGTCCTCCTCGCGGCCACTCCTCAGTGACCTGGTTACCTGCACCAACGTCACGGTGCTTTGTGCCACCCGAGCGGCCCTGACACGCAACAGCCGGCCAGTCCCGCGGAGGGGCGTGCAGCCCCGCGCTGGGGAGAGCCACGCGAGACTCCGCCCGGGGCTGTGCCGCGTCGGGGACGGACGGCTCTGGCCGCGGAGGGCCTCCGGACGAGGCATCACTCAGCAAATATTTGCGGTCCCTTGCCCGTGCTGCTCTCTTAGGTGGTCTTAATCGCCATCCTCCAGATAAGTGGATCCAGTCTGTCATTGCTGAGATAGTTAGCATTCCAACACACAGGAAAAAAAGCTCTCCCTTCGTTCGCCCTTCCCAGGGCTGATCTGTCTTCCTTCTCCGGCGCCTCCGCCGCGGCCTGGCAGGCAGTCCCCAGTCTCAGCCTCACAGCGGCTTTGGGGACCGAGGCTCCTCGAGCCCCGGTGTTGGGGTGTCGAGTCACCCACCGGGTCATGCAGAGGGATGCCTCCCGGTGAACATCGCACCAGAGCAGCTAGACTTTGGGCCTCGCTGACCGGTGACCCGGCTGCCCCGACCCGAGGGGCAGAAGATGGGAGCTGGGGGGGTGGGGGGCGGGGTGGGGCGCTCCCTCTGCGCAGCCTGCAGCCGGTCACCCCGCGATGACCTCACCTGGCACCCAGTGACTCACCCCCTCTCCTCCCCCCGCCCGGCTGATCTTTCTCATTTGGAATACCTGAGGGGAATACCAGGCTCCGGCATGCGGCGAAAACAAGATTGCGAGCTATTTTTAAAGGCGTGACGTCGTCTTCCTTTCAAGGAGACGCAGCAACCCCTGCAAAGCGAAGAAATGGGCCCTGTGTTGGAGCGACTCCCGCTCTCATAAGGGGCCTGTGAGAGTGCCCCTCCGGCAGCAAAAGCTGAGTAAGGAGGGAGGGAGCTAAAGCAGTGTCCTCTTTATTATTTTTTAAATGTGATAAAATATACCCCAAAAATTAAATGTGTCATTTTAACCATCATTAAGTGTACAGTTCAGTGGCATCGGATACAGGCAACCATCCCCACCGTCCATCTCCAGAACTTGTTCACTGTCCCAAACAGAGATTCTGTCTGCCCTGGCTCGTGTGGCTCAGTGGACTGAGCACCAGCCTGCGAACCAAAGGGTTGCCTGTTCGATTCCCAGTCAGGGCACATGCCTGGGTCGTGGGCCAGGTCCCCAGTAGGGGGCGTGCGAGAGGCAATCACACATTGAGGTCTCTCTCCCTCTTTCTCCCTTCCTCTCTGTCTAAAAAGAAACAAATAAAATCTTTAAAAACAAAAACAAAAAAAGTTAAAAAAAGAAAAGAAAAAGAAACTCTGTCTCCATTAAACACTAACTCCCCATTCCCGTCTTCCCCCCACCCCTGGGAACTTCTGTTCTACTTTCTGTCTTTGAAAAACGTGGCTCTCCTAGGGACCGCACACGAGTGGAATCAGACAGAATTTGTCCCTTTGTGACTGGCTTCTCTCACTTAACAGTGTCTTCCAGGTTCATCCATACTGTAGCACGTATCAGAATTCCATTCCTTTTTAAGGCTGACTAATATTCTATTGTGTAAATGTGCCATATTTTATTTATCTGTTCATCCGAGGATGGACATTTGGCTTATTACCACTGTGGGTTAGGGCGGGTGGTGGATTCCTGGGTCCTTCAAGGCCATTTGTTTCATTCCATGGTGACCAAGTCTCCCCTGCAAAGCTTCCTGGAGCGCACAGGCTGGGCTCATCCGTCCGGACGGCGTCCCAACAGCGCCGTGAAGATGAGGGGAGGCCCTGGGGAGGGCGGTGCTTTCTAACTCTAGAACGTCCTGTAAAAAACGTCCTCGCCTCGTTTTCACAGTTTGTTCAGCCACTGTGTCCCCCGGGGAGACCAAAGGAGCCCCACCCTGGCCTGCGTGCGAATCACAGCCCATCTGGGACGGGAGTGGGCTGGACGAGCAGTGTTTGCCTGCTGGAAGCGCGGTGCCCCCGGACCACCCGGGGCCACCCGGGGCGCGCCCTCGACGCCCAGGACACGCTTCCGCTGGTGACGCGGTGTTTGTCCACGAGCTGTGAGACACGGGCAACTGCCTCAGTTTCCTGATCGGCGAAGTGGGACCCGAGTCACAGACTCGACCTCATAGAGCTGTTGCGAATGTCAAGTTCAGTGATGACCCCGGAGGGGCCGGCATAGCACGGGGCACGGGGCAGGCGCTCAGTCAACACCGGCGGCACTTGCACGGCTGTGTACTCCTGCCTCCTTCGTCAGGGCGGCTTGGGCCCTGAGCGTCTCCATCAGTGACGGGTCACCCCAGGGTGCACGCCTGGTCTCGGCGCAGACACGGGCGTGTGCTGCTGCAGGACGCCGGTGTGGGGGCCCCTGTCTGAGCTGGCTTCCTCGCCCACTTCACGCTCGCCGGCTATTCTGAGGTCCCTGCTCTGACAAACAGGATGTGACCTGCCTCCCAAGCTTCCAGCGAAGGTTACACGGGCCGCCGGGCCGATGAGTGTCCGGCACCCGCAGGCTGGACGAGTCCCGCCAGCCCCTCTGCCTGCATCTGGCACATTCCCCGCGCTCCGTGGAAGCTTGCCCGAGCCACTTACGCAAACACCGGCACTGAAAGTGGGCGAGGCCCGCGCGCCCTGGGAAGAGAAGACTAAGAAACTGCTCCGAGAAAGAGTAGGGGAAAACCGTAGAGGACTCAGGAGTCAGCCCAGCCCGCGCACGTGCGGTCTTTGCGCATCAGTCCTTCTCAGGGCCAGGAGCGCTGAGCCCCTGCAGAGCTGTTCCGCCAGGCAGGTGGCCCGGCAGGCGCCCCCCGGTGGAGGCCCCGCGGGGAGCCGGCGGAGCTCCGGTCACGTCTGGGGGCGGGCAGGCTGGCGGCCCCACAGGCTGCCAGGAGGCCGCCGCCTCCGTGCCTACAGAGGTGTCACCAAAAGCCCCCGCCCCCGCGCGGCCCGCGGGGGGGATTCTTCTGGGAAGGCGGTGACGTCGCGCCGCGGGCGCCCTCCGGCGGGTGAGCAGCGCCGGGGCGCGTCCTCCCCGAGAGGCCCCGCAGGGAAACACGTGCGGCTGCCGAGCCATCTCCCTCTGCTGCTGCCCAAGGCTGCCCGGGAGGAGGGTCGGGGCAGGGCAGCCTGACCACGTCGGGGCCCACGTGGCCGGCCGTTGGGCTCCCTGCCGCACCGGTGGCCACGGGGTTCCTGGTGCCGGCTGGCTCCCGGGCGCGCACCGGGATCACGAGGGAACCGCGCGTCTGGGTGGGGCAACGCGAAGGGCTCGGGTGGCAGCCGGCCAGCCAGGGCTGGTCTCCGGCGCCCTCTGCTGGGCGGCGACAGAGTTGCTCTGAAGTCCCCTGGCATGGGGGGGCGGCGGGATGGGACAGTGGGGTGCGGCTGGAAAAGTAGGGGTCGCCGGCCTCATAACTCAGACCACGCAACTGGCCCACAGAGGGGAGCGGGCCTGTCCCACCCCACAGCTGCCCCGGGGCCGAGAACGCAAGGCGCGCGACCGCCACGCTGGTGACAGCCAGCCACTCCTTTCACCCCGTGACCCCGTTCTCACTGTGGTCAGGACCCTGACGCTGCTAGGGGGACGCCACGTCAAAACCATGGTCACAACGATGCTGAGAGGACCCTGGCCTTTTTTTTTTTTGGCGGTTTCCCTTTTGCGCAGTGGGGTTTTCCAAAGACCCCGTGAGCGAGGTGCCGCCGCCCACGGGACCCAGGAGCCGGTGGGAAGGAGAGTCCGCCGTCCTGGGGTCCCGCGGGCCTTCGCAGGGGCTGGCAGTGGTGCCCCCCCTCCGTCACATGGGTGCTCGTGTGCCTCGTTCACGATCCCAAAGTGAATTCACAGTCGTTCTAAAATGTATTGCATGGGGAATGTGGACAGAGGTAACCCACAGAAGCAAGCTCCTTAGGGCCCCCAACGGCCCATAGGGACAGACATGGCCCTGACACCAAGCCCTGGACGGCAGGGCTCTGTGGAAAGCGCAGTCCCGTCCTCCTCGCTGTCCCATCGCTCTCTGTTTTACCCCACGGCCCTTTTCCTGAAAGAAATGGACGAGTTTGATCGCTCTGTCCATCAACAGAGGATCTTGCTGAAACGCAGACTGGGATTCTGGCGGTGGGGCTGAGGATCTGCATGTCACAGATTTTCCCAGGTGCGGCTGCACCCCCGGGGCCACACTTTGGGAACCGCTGCTCCCCTGGGGGTTTGCTCAGTGCTTCCAGGCGGAGACCCCTCCGGTGAGAACAAGCCCCATGGCTGTCGGTGTCAGCGCTCAGAGAGGAAGTTTGCACAGTGAGGACCGGCTGCTCTCTGTGCGGGCGGGGCTAAAGCCCCTGGGAGAAACCGAGGGCCAGCTAGCTGGCCAGCTGGGAGAGGTCGGAAGAGCGGGAGGAAGTGGAGCCGGCTGCCTCGGAGAGGCTGCGCGGAGTTCCAAACAGTAACCTACGGCGCGGCCGAATTGGGCCCGCTAGGGGCGGCCCTGCTGAAAGCTGTGTGCGCGATGAGAATTATGCGTCTTTGGCTCCCACTCTGGAATCAGCTGCCATCCTCCTCAAATCCCAAAGCACAGAGTAGACCATTAAATCATGGGACTTTTACTTGTCAGGGGGGAGAGAGAGAAAAAAAAAGCCGCGGCTTGGGGAGGGGGGAGGACTCTAAATCTGCCGCGTAACGTTTTTGCATCGGGGTGGAAAATACTTGAAACCGCCCCAGCGCCTGTGACTGCTTCTGCTGCCCCTTCGGGCGGCCGTGGAATTTACATCAGCGGAGGAAAACGCGTCTCTGGGCCCGGCCCTTCCCCTGGCAGGAGGGAAGAAAGGAGTCTGACGTCAAAGCCCTGCCGGAGAAGGGATTACAGGCTCCGAAGCATCCAGAGCCCAGATGAGTCACCCAGGCCCGCCAGAGCCCGGTGGGTGCTGGGGGGGCACGGCCATGCCACCCTCTAGGGGACAGCCCTGCGCCACCCACCTTGTTGCTGCTGCCTGGGGCCGAGGGACCCCTTGTCGAATCTTCCCTTTTTCTTTTTTTTTGATAGAAGCCTGAAACCAGGGTTTTTTATGGGAACTGCATCCTTTTTTTTTTTTAAATGTCGGGAAGAAAATAAAATCAAACACACTGTTTTGTGCTGGGCCAAACACGGCTTGTCTGCCAGGCTCTGAGATAAACGAGGCAGGAGCCCGGTTTGGGGGGGCCTTCCCTTGGCCAATCGCGGAGCTCCAGGGTGGGCCCTACCTGAGCGGCGGGGGCGGGGCTAAGGTGGGAAAGCGCTTCGCGGAACTGCATGAGGAGGGCGCGGTGTTTTCTCTGTTTTCCCGGGAAGGGGGCGTCTCAGAGGCCGCGGAGTCTTGGGTAACAGGAGCAGAAAACGTGAGGGAGAGAAAGGGAGCCGTGTGCGCGGGGGGTGCAGGCAGGAGGGTGCCCCTGTTAGGTGGGTGCGTTTCCGGGGGAGGGGGGTCAAGGGATGGAGGCCACTCCCCTCAG